CGAAGGCGCCCAAGAAGGATACTGTCCCTCTCATACTTAAAAGTTATGTGCGTTCTCACAGCCCTAATCTTGCTAGCTTTAGAAATCAAGACTGAGCAAGGCATATAGTCACTCCCGTGATAGCCTAGGACACTCCATTTTGTGTCCAGCACTGCTGACTGGGTAACAAACGCCAAATAAATGACAGTGTCTGCATCACCAGGTCTCATTGCCATTTTAGTTGGCATACAGTCATGTGTACAGACTATGTCTGTATCCACCATAGCGTCCTTTGAAGCCTTTCCTTGCCTATTTTATCCACTACTGTCACATGCTCTGTTCCGCGCACTGAATCTCCACAAATGAGAAGCCTATTACCAGGAATTTCCTCCAAATCTTTGAGCCAGTCCTTTCTGACAAGAGATTCAACAGCAGCGTAAACATTTACTAAATTCCAGGTTTTACCTCCATTATCTGTATACCCTGAATCTCTAGTGTTCTATGATTCCACCCATTTTTCACCAGCAGACACTGTCCATGTCTTCCCAGTCCGGTAGGATTTATGTTACTAATGTATCCAGGACACTCATGTATATCTATGTTTAATTCCTGCAGCATGAGGATATCAAAGTCATAAATCAGTCTCTGCAGTACAGGTCCTCTCTGCTTGGCACAACGACAGTTCCAGTAACTAATATGCCTTATTCCAAGACGCTCCGTTTTTCACCTGACTCTCGGGCTCCGGCTCTCCTATTTCTATTCCTTATGCCCTCTCCATTTCCTCGTCTTCTCCTCCTTCCACTCTTTCCGTTGCCACCTGAAGATGGTATTAAGCACAGAGCACGCACTCCATAGCTCCGGCGATGATTCTTTTTCTTTTTAATACAAAATCCATAGAAAATAATCTTTCAGTGCAGGAAGTAAACGGTCACCCTAGTGCCTGCTTGCTAGGGAAGAGAAAGGGGATATCATGACGGAGTCCATACGCCTAAGTCCGCTCACCCACTAACCAGACGTTTCACGTTCACGACTGTATAACCCACAATCATTCAGCCCATAGGCACGTAGGTCCACCGTAGGCTCAGGTTTTTTGTTTATAGAGGTTGCCTCTAGATCTGTTATTTTGTGCCTCTTTGGTCACGCACAGTGGTCTTGACTGTAGAGGTGATTTCCTGATAAAGGAACGTGCAACCTAAGCGTGCCGCTTTCACCCTGTAAGTACAAGTACTCATAAGGCTAGACCAAGCTTTCGAGACAGAACAGCTGGTATACTTCACTGCGTGAGAGAACGGACATGTACATCCCTGGATCACGGGTCCTCGTGTATTTTAGTGCACAGTAATCATGATGCGATTTTGTGGAGGTAAAAGTTAAACTGAGCTGCTAAATGACATTATGGAAACCATTCTGAAACTGATATACGCGCGAGAAGACAAGTCGAACGGCAGTTTACACAATCCGATGGTTAAATTTCTCATCAAAGTGTGTCTATGCTTATTTACTGTTCCTTGATTGATAATACTATACAGCGCCCTAACATTTTTATTAGTTGCATCTAGTGCGTCCTCAGAGCTGTTAGTTTGTATCCAGTCTGTCATAACAGTTGTTATTTGTATCTAATCTGTCCTAACTGTTGTTAGTTGTATCTAGTCGTCTGTCCTGACAGTTGTTGGTTGTAAACTTTGCTGGACAGGTCATAAAGTCCGCATGCCTGACGACTGACCACCGACTTCCAACCAAATTTTTCTTGGGTTAGCTACTAAAAGGAAACGGCTTTCCACATTAGAACGACAGTATATATTAAATGATCAGAGAGATGCGGCCTTAATGCCCTGTTCACATTGCTTAAGAACATTTAGTGCTAGAGGACCTTATCAGCCATTTGCTTACTCACAAAACCTTATCTAGTCACAAATGGATGAATTGACTGGAATCATCACATGTGATATATGAACAACAACAACAACAACACTTGCGTGCCCTTATCTGAGCGGTCACCATTTTTTTTTAATGTAGTAATTTTCCCTCGTCTCTGGATAGTAAGACCAGACGCCCGTGAATATTGCTGCACACGTAAAAACTACCTTGGCAGTTGAAAATAAAATGAAAAGAATAGCCCAACGGCGTTGCTTGGGCAAAATGTGGAGTAAAAAATCTATCCAATGTATTTTAATTTCCTCGCCGGTTCTACGAAATTCGTGCACTGCGCTGAGATTCTGTAGACTCGGGCTTGAGTTAGAAGTAGAAGGAAGCCCTTATGGGGCATACCCGTGTGATCGTCAACGATGGTTGTAACCTCTAATTGACGTTCTGTTTGTGGATATTATCTTGTAGTTGGAATATTCAGAAACAGTTTGTTTTCTTTATCAGTGGCACTGTATTATCACTTACCAGTTCAATAATTAAAAACTATCTACTGTTGCTGACACTAAGTTTGTCATCTTATTTAACAAAAAAATTTCAACATTCATTAAAACAAAGGAGAAGGTTCCATAGATGTCATATTTACACTACGATTTGTTTGCGAGAAAACAGTTAAATATAACGATGAACTGAAAATTGTGTTTGTAGATCAAGAAAAGGCTTTTGACTGAGTAGACAGAAACAGTCTATGGGTTATTCTTCTACATATTTCGGCACTTTAGTAGTGGTATAGTTAAACTTACTAACACGTTCGATATTTATGACCCAACCCAATCGGACTACAAGTTGTTCCGTAAATGCTTGTTGGTCTAGTATAAGTGTTGTAGGTTGAACGTGGCTTCTGGAAGGGAGATTGTTAGCTGAATAGTAGCGCCTACAATCAATATATATTACGTATTGCTTGATAAAGAAAATATTCAGAATCCTTGGCATACAGAAGTCACTGTAATACCTAGTGTATTCAGGGTGTACAGAGACAAGAATATACTGAAGAAATTAGTAGTAGTAGTATATTTTGCCTCACTAGGACATCACACAAGCGATAAACACCCGATGACACAAAGTGCCACCATGCGGATAAGGATCACCCGTGAAGAGGTCCCAGAAACCGCGTTCAGCCGTTAGACCATATTTATGGCCGGGATATATTGCGGCCCCTGGCAAGAGGCACAGTAGGGCTTCAAGATGACTAAAAAATTTGCATTCCAAAAGGAGATGACTGCATTAAGTGTTAACGACAAACTTAAGAAAAAGTAAACGAGGTAAAGGCCATTTGGGAGCACTTAAAAAACGATGCGGTGAAAGCCCCCTTGCGATCCGTAAGCAATGTGTAATAGGGAATACATAATCACGGTCAGGAGAGAAACATGTAGCTGTGAGTGATATCTGATGAATTCCACACTCAGAGGAAAGGTAAGACGGAGATTAAATCAGACTGTGATTAGTAAAGTTGGTATTGGAACTCTACTCTGGCTGCAGAAAATTGAGGCCGGCAAATTTGAGAGAGAGATCAGTTGTATGTTCCCGTGTCGCAATTAGAATCAATAAAATTATGAAATAAGGTTGCACAGGTATCTGGAATTGGTTGCTGACATCCGACACAGAGCCACTGTGGTGTCAAACAATCCCTAAGGATTAAAAACATTTAGACAATAAAACAGTCAACAAGAAACACACAAAATTAGAGTGTGAAAAGATGCATTTAAAAATAACAAGCATGGAAACGCGTACACAGGGAAAGTACGACTCCAGTGTCTGCCTTTATTTATTGTCATATCTTCTAACACATTCGACTACTGGATCAGTGTGTGAAATATATAAATGGTGTCATAATTATCTTCTATAAAAAAAAAATATGTTTGTATCAAAAAGACAACTTATCAAAAAAAAAAAAGTACTGACATTGCCCGAGTCTTCAATTATTACAATTTTGGAAGTCAGCGCGCAGGTGGACAGCCCATTGAAAACCTCAACTGAACATCTGGTATCAAACTTTAGGAAACAAATATTTGGAAACTCTCTCATTAGGCAAACAACACAGAAGATCTGTAGTCTTTTCTTAAATAATTTTCATACTTCACTAAGGATCTTTCTCTGGGTAACATTATTTTGCAACTAGCGCCAACAGATACACAGACACAGCCTGAAGACAGTCACTGATTAGTTCAAGGAAACCCCATTAGTTCTGTTACCAGTAGCAAAATCACCTGAAACAAATGTTTTTTTCTTTCAAAGTGTCATTGTAAAATGTTGAAAACATACATGTGAGACACGTCTGTACCTCACGAGCGTTCATTTAGTTTATAACAAAGCCAAAGAACTTGTCAACTATGGCAGTGCTTTAAACAGCATTGCTGCTGAATAGAAAATAAAAAATAAATAAAACAAAGCCATGTATTACATCTCCCGTAGGTCACTCTGTGACAAATACTGTTTTAACTGTCAAACATTTGTTTCGGCAGGCACAAATGTCACCCTAAGGAAGATACTTTGATTTTTGTTGTTAACAGATGTAATTTAACTTCTGAAAGACATTTTTTGGTCAAGAAGAATTTTCTTTGTCACAAATGCAAGCCGATATAGTAAATGACCATTCTGGCGATTGGTTACCCTCAAAGGATCTTGGTAGCACACTCCCTCAAGGAATCCTAAGACAATATAGCTAGAGTGTCACAGTGTCCGTCACGTCATCGCCAGCATAACCAGAGTTGTCAGACCTGAATATAATCATCACATAAATGAGACCTGTAAAATATAATTGAGATGTCACAAATTTAAGCTATAATGTTAAAAATACAGTTTTAGTCGTTGCGAACGATACACTTTTAGCTGACAAATTTAATTGCATGCATCTGAAAGACAAGCAAGCGTATAATGCATTACGTCATAGTTAATATCTGATCTGTTTTTAACATTAATATTAAATGCAGTTTTACATCACATACTATGATGTCTCAGAAAGATACATACGCCAGCAGCAAATGAGGAACACACACCATCCGTCAAGTCTCGTCGCCAAACTGCAATCCCATGCCGAATGTTAATTTTTAAATCTACACGAAGACAGCTGCGTTTGTTGCCAGGTTGGTCGCCGGTAA